ATAATGCACAGTACGCATAAAGTCGAACGTTTCACAATCACAGCAGCTTCCTGGTGTTGTAAAGTTTTTCAAAGTTTCTAGATGTTATTTAAAAAACCTTTATTGTCAATAGATAAAATTTTTTTAAACCACGTAGGTTCGTGTCCGTACTCCTATCTTCCTTCTTGTATGGGGCAGAGTTTGTGCCACCTGTCTAACTTGATGAGGATGTTCTTGATGTCATCCAGGGTTTGTTTGTGGCTTGCTGCATTGCTTTCACTCTTTTAAACACTTAACAACACCAGGAAGCTGCTGTGATTTTGAAACGTTTGACTTTATGCGTACTGTGCATTATAGGATGTAAGTGTATGTATTTTAAATCAAAACACCTATTGTGATGGTAGTTTCCAGTTTGTAATGATTAGGGACCAGATTTTAATGCAAAAGCATATTTCTTTCTTGCCACTAGAAAGTATGCTCGTTCGGATATATGCATGCATTATTTCATTTCTTAAATTTTGGAAATGGTTTGATGGTGCATATAAATGCATATTTTGCCTGTTTTATGAATAAGCATCATATTTTCGAAGATCTCTATTTATACTGCATATTTCCTTTTAAAATGTTTATCATATTGTGACATGCTGAGCTATGGATGACGCCCCTCCCCCACCCCCGCCAGCCGTGATGCGCCGAGCGAAGCCGAAGCGAGCCGATGTTAGCCGAGTCCTAGCATCCTGGTCGCTAGGCAACGCGAGTCAACAGCGATGACGTCACCAAGGGTACCGCGGGTAAACAGGATTGCGAGAGACGACGGTAGTAACAGCGGTTACTACCGCTAGCGTTGCTAACAACACAGCGCCAGGCAACAAGGGTGCATATTACGTGGCCATTTTCTGTATTGTCCGATCGAGGCTACATGAGGAGCAGCGAAGGCTATTCACAGTTAGTCCTGGAGCTACCTCCGAGTGAGTCCTCGAGCTACCTCCGAGTTAGTTCTGAGTTAGCCAGCAACCAGTCAGTTGCAGCGTGGCATTTAAAGTGTAGTATTTGTGATACTGCAGATAGCAGTAGTTCTAAAACTGTCAATTGTGTGATTGTAAGTGCGAATGTGAAATAAAATTCGCTCTTTAAAATACGGCGTGAAGTTATTTGTCGCGTCATACGCCCAATACGCGACAATATATATTTTTTAATTTTTGTGTTCAAATTTTCAATCATGGTCGTGTCTATAACATTTTTCTTTTCTGTATTAAAATATGTTGCACATTTGACTCAACATTTTGTCATGATTCATGTTTCTGATGCAGTACCCAGATGGGACTTCCCCAATCGCTCTAGTCGTAACTTGCCACATCTGCATGCCATCAAAGTGGCCGTGGAGATATATTAGTCAGAAGCGTTCACATGTAGCCTCTATCAACATAATACTATTCAACTGATAAGGGACTTCACTTACTTATTTCTGAAGTCTCCATGAGGTTCGTTACGCTTCTTCATTTGAAGCTGGGGGCCATTCACATTTTTTTTCTTTTCCCCCCCCCCGCCTTGGCACTACAGCCCCAGCGGGCCTAGACCTACCTCCATGAACTTCTCCGTTCACTTCGGTTTTTCCAGATCATAGACATACGGTAGGATTCCTTTGGCGGGTGATCAGCTCATTGCAAGGCCTCTACCTGTACACAAACACAGAAAAACGCACACAAACATCCGTGCCCTGAGTGGGATTCGAACCCACATTCCCGGCTTCCAAGCGAGCGAAGACAGTGTACGCGGCTATTCACATTAGTGGTGACTAGTCTGTAGTTAAGTTTGTTTAGCTTTCTGTGGTCATTCCGAAAGTGAAAGTAAGTCAGAAAACTAAATTACAGATGTATCAGCAGGAGTTCAAAGGAGAGATAATAAGTACGGATAACGAAATTCTTTATTGCCGAGCATGTGAGAAAACAGTTGGTTGTAAACAACGCTTTCAAGTGCTTCAGCATTTGAGCACTAATATGCACAAAGAGAATATTAAAATTAAATCCACAAAAAGTGCTCCTGTTCAAAAATTGCTTAGTGAATTTTCTAATAATAGTTTTTTTTACAGTTTTACTTTGATTTATGTGAAGCCTTTTTAGCGGCAGATATTCCGCTGTGGAAACTAACCAGTCCTACTCTGAGAAACTTCATAGAGAAGTATACACAGTGCGAAGTGCCGAATGAATCTACTGTGCGCAAAAATTACGTGAAGCAGTGTTACGATCTTACAATTTAAACCATTAGAGATAAGATTCAAGACGATTTTGTGTGTGTATCAATTGACAAAACACAAGATTGTGAGGGACGGTTTATTGCAAATTGTATAGTTGGATCCCTTAATAAGAATGAACAATCTACCCCATATCTTCTTGCGGTAGAGCAATTTGAAACCACAAATAGCTCCGCAGTTTCCGAATTTCTTATCAATTCCATGAATTTACTATGGCCGAATGGCATTCAGTATGAGCGTGTATTGCCCTTTGTGACTGATGCCGCAAGTTATATGATGAAAGCCGATATTGCTCATAAAGTTATATTTCCAAATATGACACATTTGACTTGCCTTGCCCATGGGTTGCACCGTGTTGCAGAAACAATTCCTGCAAATTTTCCGCTTGTTGACAAGTTGGTGTCTTCTGCGAAGAAGGTATTTGTTAAAGCGCCATACAGAAAAGAAGCCTTTAAAGCAGTAGCACCGAGCGTTCCACTTCCACCAGAACCAATTTTAATGCGCTGGAACACGTGTCTGTGTGTAGCGAGTTATTATACCAAACATTTAGAAACAGGAATGTTGTGAATAAATTTGATCCCAAAAGTGCAGCATCAATTCAAATTGCCCAAGATGTACTAAAAACGCAGAACTAGAAATTAATCTTTCCTATATATCTGCTCACTTCTCTCATCTGACATCCGCCATTTCCTCACTGGAAGTGACCAATAGCAATACTGCTCTGTATCAGTCGTTAAGTGTGTTCAAAACCACTGTTTCCAAATTGAATTTGGTTCGTGGAAGAGTTGATGAAGTAGTAAAGGAAAATGTACACAGCATTCTTTAAAAAAAATCCAGGATATGAACAAATTTGTGAAATTGAAGAAATTTTAGCCGATAAACGTACTGAACTGCCAAGTAACAAATCACTAACAGTGGAGCAAATAGTGGCTTTTGTACATGCGTCCCTAAGTTCCTGTGAGGTGGAAAGAAGTTTTTCCTGCTATGAGGGCATCTTACGAGACAATTGGAGGTGACTATGGAAAATCTAAAACATTTATTAATTGTGAACTGCAACAAAAGAGAAGTTGAAAGTTCGGAGAGCTTAATGCGAGTACTATTGCTTTTTTAATTTATAATGAAATATGTTGGCTTTGTTTGTATTTGAGTATAGCTTTTTATTGCAAGTGAATCATTTAGTGATTACATAAAATGAACTTAAATATTGATTTGTTGGTCTTAAAATAATGTAAAATCGATTTTAATGTTTGGTATAAATTTTTATGTGCATATTTTAGTGCATATTTCGGAAGTTTTCATGCATAAATGCATACATATTTAAGAGATTATTAGGGCATAAAAATCTGGTCCCTAGTAATGATATTCCCCCTGAAGATGGCCTGTAAGGACCGAAACATGTAAGGGAGATAAGTTTTAACGTAGTAAAAACTTATATGTCACATTGGACGGAGTGGTTTGTATTTATATAATTTTGCCTTTAGTTCTGTATGGGTGTGAAACTTCGTCTGTGGCTTTAAGGGAGGTACATAGACTGAGAGTGTTTGAGAACAGGATGCTGAGGAGAATATTTGGATTGAAGAGAGATGAAGTGACAGGAGGTTGCATAATGAGGAGCTTCATAATTTGTACTCTGCTCGAAATACAATTAGAACGATCAAGTTAGGGGAATGAGATGGGCAGGGCATATAGCTTGAATGGGGAAGAGCAAGACTGCATATAGGATATTGGTGGGGAAGCCGGAAGAAAGGAGACCACTGGGAAGAACAAGGCATAGCAATATTAAGATGGATATCAGAGAGATATTATGGGATGGGATGGATTGGATTGGTTTGGCTGAGGATAGGGACCAGTGGAAGGCTCTTGTGAACACAGTAATGAACCTTCTAGTTCCATAAAATTTTGTGAAGTTCTTAAGTAACTGCACAATTGGTAGCTTCTCAAGAAGAGATCTGCTTCATGACTGAATGAGTAAATTGTACTTTTCAACCCAGTATTAAAGGAATTGCCATAAAATAATCTGTTTATTTCAATAATTTCCCCATTCAACTTTTTATTGTGTATTATGTGAAAAAAAAACATGTATGAAATTGTTTCCTCACTTTGAAGATATGAACCAGTCAGTTAAATCGGTTAAAATTGATTAAAATAGTTTGAAATTTCTTAAAATTGGTTAGAATTGGTTAAATATACTAAAATTGGTTAAAATAGAATGAAATTGGTTAAAATTGGTTAAAATAATTAAGAATTGATTAAAATAGATTGAAATTGGCTAAAATAGGTTGAAATAGATTAAAATTGTTTAGAATTCATTAACCATTCAGTTCTGGCCGACGTACATACGTGAGTTGTTCACAGTGGAAACCGAATTGTCCTACAGATTGTGGCCTTATAGGATGTGACACCATGTATGTGGACACCAACCTTTTTGAGGAACATGCTGCTTCGATCTTAAGTGTTGAAGGAGTTGAGTAGCTTCGCTCTCTAGATATGGCAGATTTCTGACTGATGACTCTTTCATAAAGTTGTCTCCTCACAGTGGTTACTGGTTAGTTTGACCCTGAGGATGGAGCCAGAGTATTCCTCTAAAATGTTGGTGTCTACCTACAAGATCCCATGGTGGCACAACCCAGAAGATGATAAACTGAACTTCCACTGACATTAATACCTCAAAATGTGTATGGATGGACTTTCCTTGTCTCATCATTAGTAAAGTTTGAATTACATGGTATTGCAAAGTGTAAAAAACTTACATATCTGTTCTTGGTTTCAGGAGCAACTGGAACTACTACAACACTCTGCACCAAATGTGGATCCAGCACAAATGTCGCAGTTATTGTCATGCTGCTATTCTTTACTTTCTCCAGAGGCATCCCTCCTTGGGCTGCCAGATTTTCCTGTTGATAGTTTACCAGCGGCTGTAAAATTGATGGTTAGTGGTATTGAAAGTTTGTTTCTTATCCATTATAATTGCCACCTGTTATTAACGACCCTTTGTGATTTTGTTAGTTCACAGCAATTTTAGAATTGCGATGAAATAGTGATAAATTTGGTAATGTTCAGCACTTGAGTCATCATTACTCCTTTCTTGCATCATAGAAGCATAAAGAATCTCTGAATTAATTCTTAGATGCTGCCTTTCATTGGAGAGTGTTGTTCTTGTTTATTGTAGAATTTAGATTCTGACACTGAATAAGTGTAGAAGAGGTGGACTTACAGATTACTTGTTCAGGTGTATAATCAGATATCTTCTCTTTGTGCGTGGTATATTTTATGGCAATGTCAGTATACAGACCAGTGGTTCCCAAACTTGGGGGGGGGGGCGCTAACCCTTTAAGGGGGACATGAAGTTCCAGGCCTGAGGCCACAAGAACAAATCACTTTTTCATGCCATAACTGCGAAATATAAATTCTTTTTGACTTACATTTAATCATCTTATCCTTAAGCACCAGTTAAAATGTTTAATCTAGGTTAATTTAAAATTTAAAAAAAATGTATTTTTAACATCTGACAACATTATTCATTTCCAAATAAGAACACTGTGCAGCTTTTTCGTTTTTTAAAAAGAAAGGAACTCACAGTTTTTGTAGGGTGCCCATGCAGCAGCATTTAATCTCCCTGTTTTCAGATATCAAATTTCTCTAAACAGTATTTAATTATCTGTTATTTGTTACTACACTATTAGTTGCATTGACAGTATTTTTATTTCAGACGTTATTTATTGAGGATTAATACATTGTCATATATTTTTTACCTAAAATTATTGAGAACCCCCTACAAAAAATTATTTTTTCAGTTTTTAGATGGTAGATTAGGACAGACTTGAAGGGACCCAAGAAGTAAATGTCCATGTGTATGCGCGTGCGCGTGCATGCGTACGCGTATATGTGTGCGAGCTTGTTCACATGCATGCGTGTAAGACATGGGGCCCAATCTGTAGAGTGGAGTTTCAACCCAGCTAATGCTGTGGTATTAAATAGCAGGTTGTAAATTATCCTCAAACAATGTAGAGACTAAATTAGCAGAAATAAATCATTAAAATAGTGAGTAATATTCCTGTGTGTATCTTTCAGGATTGCAAAATACACCAGAACACGGGTAAATAATAATTAGTTGATCGTGAACAAGAATATGAATGCAAAGGGTTATTTATATTTATTTCAATCAAAAATGAGGGAACATGAGGCTTTGGTGGAAACCGAATGAGGAGTATCATGTCAGAAAGTTTTGGAACCACTGATCAAAACCAGGGCTGGACAGACTTTTATGTGGCAGATGCTGCATTAAAATTGTCCAGAACTGTATGGGTCACTTATGGTTTTATTTATTTTAATATACTGGCAATGTTTGTAGTAAGTAATTAGAATATAAAGTTCTAGTATTTAGAAGTGACAGTCCAGGAAAAGCTGCGCAGTGAATGGGCAGGTCCATTAGTGACAGTTGAGGGGTGTTGTGATTAGTCATTCGTCTGCATTCAGTGCGAGCAGACGTCTCAAGAGCATTCTTCATTGTACAGTCAAGTTAAAAAGTGTTGACTCTTGGAGTCATATTTGAGGGTATTATTCCCTATTTACTGTATTTATATTTGTACATTTTTCTGTTTCCTTAAACATGCCACCTATACGAAGTAAATTCAGTGGAAAAGTGTTGCATTCACAATGAAGAGAAATCGTTAGTTATGTATGTACGAGTAAGTATATGAAAGAGGCTGGGCCAACAATTACAGTAAAGAACATAGGAGTGGAAGTAGCAAAGTCAACAGGTGTATCGGAAAGTAGTGTCAGAAGAATAATAAGAGAAACAAAAAATATAGAATCTGGGGCTTCCACTTCCTTTTCGACACCCCATGAAGAAAGACCTAGGAAATCTCCACTAGCCACTTTGGACGACTTTAACGAGTCTGTGGTGCGAAGAACAATTAATAACTTCTACATAGTCAGAAAACGGAGACATACCCTGAAAAGGTTCACGAAAAGTTGAAGAAAATGTTAGATTTTCAGGGATGCATCTCCACATTAAAGAAAATTATTTTGAGACTGGGGTTCCACTGGAAGAAAACAAAAAATAATTGGCAGGTACTTGTGGAATGATATAATATCAGAGCCAAACATCTTCAGTATTTGGGGCAAATTAAAGAATATATGGAAGAGGGCTGCGAAGTCATCAACATGGATCAATCCTATATTCATTCATCACACACCACCCCATATGCATGGAGTGACGGATCCATTCTGGGATTATTTTCCCCTGTGTCCAAAGGCCAATGGCTCATTGTTATCCATGCAGGGGGAGTGCAAGGTTTCATCCCTAATGCCTATGTCCGCTTCAGATCCCACCAAAAACAGGAGACTACCACAGTGACATGAACTAGACTAATTATGAAAAATGGTTAAAGGAGCGACTTATTCCTAACCTTCCCCCAAATTCAGTCCTTGTCATTGATAATGCTCCCTACCATAATGTACAACTAAACAGAGCCCCTAACTCAAATTCAGGAAGAGATTTTATGATATCCTGGCTAAAATATTACCTTCTACCTATTACCTTCGATAACACTGATTTTTCAGACTCCCTCCGTATCACCCAGAACTCAACCCAATTGAGTTAATGTGGGCCACCGTAAAAAAATTGGGTTGCTCAAAACAGTACCACATTTAAGATGGATGATGTCATTAAACTGGCAGAGCAAAAATTGGCTTCCATAACTGCAGAAGACAGAAGAATGGCAACGTAGGTGCCAACATGTAAGGAACATTGAGCAACAATTAATGGCACGGGAAGGCCTTTTGGACGCAGGATGAGAGTTCGTCTTCCATGTTGGTGGTGTTAGTGAAGACAGTTCTGATGATAGCTCCGATTCATCTGGTGCTGACGAGGAAGGACAGGCATGTAGAGATGATATCTATGCGGACATTGCTGGTGTTGCCCCTTTAGAATAGACCTGTGTAATATATAAATAAACTCTTCATGTATATAACAGTGAAATATATATAATATTGTATAGTGCATAATAGTCTGCCATTCGGCACTTAAAACTTAACATCAGATGTGTGAACACCATCGAGACTAAACCACCAACACTGTGCAACACAATGAGGTAAGAAGTTATTTCCTTTTGAGAACGCATGTACTGCATTCCCCGCCACACTTGGCTGCATGCTGGAGCTCTCCCCGCTACTACCAATACTTGTACTCCGCGTCGGAGGACCGTCAGCTATAAATACTACAACTCTATGAAATATGGATTTCATAGGTTAAGAGTAACTTGAAGGTCAAATAATAATTTCTGTTTCAGAATTCAGATCAGCTTATACATAATATAAAATTTTACTAATGTGAAATTTTAGAAATGCAAACTTACTTCCAAAATGAGATTCGTAATGTAAAACTGTATGAAACACATGGAAACACATGTTTAATGGAAAGATAAATGAAAAATATTGTGAAATTTGATATGTAATTGCCAGCTGCTAACCTTAAACATGATTTGACTAGTGCGGCATGGCAGGAATAAAATGTTTCCAGCAATTGGCATGAAGTGACAGTATTCAGGATTTAATATTCTGAGCACATATAATTTATAAATGAAAAGATATTACTTATTTCTCGTGCATTGACACCCATCCCAAAATTTGTTTCCAGTCTCTGGGAGGCAATGCTTGAAGTCTTTCCCAGTCCTGATCTACACTGTATAGCATCATTTGTTAGGATACCTGACAAGTTGGAAACAATTTGGAAGGAAATGGTGGTGTGTTAATGGAGCTTATTCCCAGAATTTGCCTGAAAGGACAGAAGAAAACCATGAAAACCAGTCAGGATAATTTGTGTTCTGTCAGAGATGCCACTGAATCACATCCCAAATACAAGTCTAGAGTGATATATAAACTACAAATATATAGTAAATTTAAAATTGCACATTTTATAAATGAAACGCTTAAAAAAGAATGGAAAATATCTTTTAAAAATGAAGTTGTAAATGGAGGCTAAAGTTAACAAGACAAGTTTAAGCTGAAGTCATAAGGCAGTAAAAATATGTAAATAGAAAGGTAGTAAGAGGAAAAGTAATAGCAGTAGTGACAGCAACAGTAGTAGTACTCGTAGTAATAGTAGTAGTAGTGGCGGTGGTGGCAGCAGGGGAAGTGGAAGTGGAAGTAGGTTAGCATTAGTAGTGTTGAAGACCAAATTTTGGGATTGAAAATTTAAGTCATTACCTAGGTGCCTGGAGACTTGCGAAAAGTGTTTTGCAGTGAAAGAGCAAAGATGACAACACATGGACACGCAATGAGGTTAAGAATGCGATAATCAGCATTCATGCGTAATACCGTATGCAAGACGCTCCGCTAACTAGGCCACTGGAGATGGTCATATGAGTAAATACACAGCGATAAGACGCAAGAGGTCCACCCCCAGCCACATAGAATACCCAATGAAAGCCTAACTTTA